CGTCGTCGTCGTCGTCGTCGTCGTCGTCGTCGTCGTCGTCGTCGTCGTCGTTGTTGCGACAGACTCCACCAGGCTCGAGAAGGATTCGGGACGCGGAAACCCCGTCCAGTACGTTTCCAGGTGATCTAACGTCGGTCCTCGATTGACCTGCCGCCGTCTCGATTTGCTTATCCCGCGAGCCAGACCTCCTCCTTCTCCCGACGCAGAGGAAAAGTCTTTCGTCTCGCTTCCGGTGACAGCGATCGTCGTCGAGTCCAAACGATACAGCGATGGGGTCCCCTCGAGGTCGTCTCGTTCAGAGGACAACACCGCCACGTGGTGGTCCAGTTCCCAGGGCAGCGGACTACCCCCCAATGGACGCAGACTGGAAAATCGTCGCGACGTTCTCCGGGTGGCAGCTCCCGAGAGGTGGTTCAGCGATCGAGGCGGAAGACGAGGAGGCGCAGCGTCGAGGGGCACGTACGTATCGGACACCACCGACGCAGCCGTCGTCGTGCGCGTTCGATTGCCGAGGACAGCGACGACGAGAAGAAGCAGGGGCAAGCCCACCCCCGCCCCCGTGGTGGCCCCCACAACCCCCTGCCTTACAACGAAAACTCGCGAGGCCGTCCAGTCCAGCTGATTGTAGGCCGACCTTGACCGCGGAACCGGGCGATACGAGCCGTTGCCTCGTCCTCTTCCTCCTCCAGTTCCGTCTCTCTAACCTCGCCGCGATCCCCGGCTGCGTCTACCTCCTCGTCGCAATCTACATCCAAACACGCGTCTATGGTCTTCCTCTTGGCGGCTGGTCCCGTCCAGTGGCTCCGGGGGTCCCGGCGTTTGTATCGCGCCGATTCCAATTCGCGTCTCTTTTTCTTCTTCCTCTTCGTCGTCGTGACAACTGTACCACCGGCGAGACTGCGGTCTCGCATTTATCCCGTCGCGCGTCGAACGTTCACCACGTGGCACGTGCGCCGCGCTGACTCGACCGACGAAATCGCTGCTAGGCGACCGCGTTCCGCCATCATCGCGAGCGGTTTTGGTAGATCTCGCGCGCGATCCTCGGACGATCCTCCGCGATGACGCGCGCCCCGAGCACTCGCTGTTGCATTCTCCGCGGCGGCAGCTTTACGACCACGTCCTTCGCGATCCTTGCCAATCGGATGTCCACTGTCCTCGGAGGGAGATCACGACGCGTGTCTGTAACAAACGGGCATCGGTCAAATTACGGTTACAGTGGGATCGGTGGGACTTAAAGTGACCGGAAAACAGGTTTATCTTTTGTTATATCGGACATTGTGTCCTCTAGTCTTTCGCCATCGTCGAAAATAGTTGAAACACCCTGTATACGAATGCACGGGTTTATCGATACTTCGGCTATCGAGATCGAAACGAAAAACGGAGATCCTGAAGCTATTGTTCGCGAAAACTCGGAATACCTTGATCCTCGAAAATAGCCTCGGGCGCATGCCATAAACGTACCAACGAAATTCTCACGTGCTCTGTTCCTTCGGACGGAACAGATGACCTTTAAATAACCTTGAAGATAACGTCTAAAAATAGACAAATAATTTCACTTAACTTTATTTCTGTAAAGCGTTACACTTTTTTTCATTTTCACAGAAACAGAAAATTCTTAGCTAAAATCGAAACGACCAACTGAACCCGTCGGTCGTCATCCATGGATCTCTATACTCTTGAAAGAATGTCTCGCGAATTCTTTAATCCTAAATTCCGGTAACCCTGGCTGTGAATCATCAGTCACGAATGCGTGGAAGTGTTCCTCGCGAAAGGTAACGCGAAAAAGTGCTCCAACGACGTCAAAATACGAACACAAGCCGGTCTGGTAAACAAGAGACGACGTGGCACGAGTCGAAGAGGAACAGAGTCCGAATGCACTGTCTTATTCTGGTCCATGGTCTCATGCTTCCTACAACTTCCTAAAATACGAGGCCCCAGGAAATAGTTGGCGAACAGATTTCGAGTGATTCGTTTCGTTCTACGTTCTACCCCTACCCATTTCGCTCTCTCCGTTCTTCCATCGCGCTTTGTCTCCTCCTTTCCTCGTGCATGTCAATATGCACGATACAACGAACAACAATGTCCAACACACGGGCACACGGCCACCCCTGTGGCGTGCGTTCACGTACGGGCATGAAAATGAAAATGTTGCCCCGCGGAACGCTCACTCGAGATTTCGAGTGGTCCTCGTCGAGTCCGGGACCTCGCGTTGCGTGAATTTATTATTTATGCAGAGCAGTGGCGGATCTAGACTTATCGAGGCCTGGACCTAATCGAGGGTCTCTACTGAAACGTTCTGTTGCACGCGAGGTTCGACGAGTCTCTTCTTTTATTCTTGGGTTGTAAGAACCAGCTCTTTATTTCAAAAGATTGTAAAAGCCCGTGTAGTTTTCGAACCGAAGAATCTATAGGAACTGAGCGAAAGAAACTTGTGCGTTATTCGTTGGTTTTATCTTTGTCTCGGAACTTAGTGTACAGGCTTCTATAAAAAGAACTGTTTTTATAACCAAAATATACTACGCAAAATTGTGTTTGAGAAGAAGCAAATGTAATCACTGTGAAGATGTATCTATTCTTGTATCGTTCACTATATGACTCCCTTTTTCAATTCAGACACTAAAACTAATTAACGAAAATTAATTAACGAGCTCCGCTTTCTGCTCGAAGGAGGCAGAAGCCGAGATTTCACTGATTTCGCGGCAGACCGGTCCTGATGGGCATTGGCGACCCATGGGTCCGTATTATGCAACCCTTGTGTCCCTTTACCAGCAACGACGCACGCTCGAACGGTAAATAATTATTCGCACTGCACAGACGGCGATACTCGAGATAAACGGTGATCGATATTCCCGATGCCACTGACAAAAAAAGAAAAACAACGATACGGATTGATATCTCGACGCGACAATCGATCGGGACGATACAGGCCTGGGTACGAAGATATTGGAAAGTTGTACGCTCCGAATAATAGCAGACTGCGAATTCAATGGCCCCACTATGCTTCTTCTGACGGTCAAAAATATTTATTTATTTATTTTTCTAACCAACGACGAAGGAACGCGCGAATCAATTTTTCGAAAATATATTTGCCACGTACGCGAGGTTCCATTAAGCGCGGCATCGTCGGAAGGGGCGAGGGAGGGAGGGGGGAGGGGGAGGGAGGGAGGGAGGGAGGAAGGGGAATCGCGAAAATCCTATTTTTATGAACATTCTCCGTCGAGTATGAATAGTTCTTGCCCACCTCTTCGTCACAGATACCGTCGCTCTTATAGTATGGCCAACATAGAGCCGCGAAAGAGGGAAAGGGGATGGTCTATGAAGAAACAGACTGAGTGGTCTGTTTCTACTGTCCACACTCTCCTAATGCAAAACTCGTGTAGCATTGATAGACGTCGTCGGTCGCGACACCCATGACTGCCCGACACGCCGTGTTTCGCGGTGTTTATTCAACGTACTCTATCGAACAGGAAATCACGAACAACGGTAAAGAGGCTACGCCACGTCTTGTGCAGCGACAGACCGACCGAATATTTGTTTACGCAGAAAACGCGAATTCCGCTAATTATAGTCACGGAGTCGAAGGGAGGAAACGGGCGACGACACTATTTTTACGAGTCTCCCGCCAGAATATTGTCGGATGTCTGCCTCGGTCTGACCGCAACAAAGTCAACGCACGATAAACCCCAAGACTTCAATGTTTTTACGATTCCTTGCACCACTCCCAATTCCAATTTTTATTCAACGCTCGTATGTAAATATCGACTACGACATAAGTATTTACAATTCGTCCAAAACTACTGAAAAACGATCGATTAACGATACTCCAAAATTCTAGTTCGTAAAGTTTAGGTAGGAAATCTGTCTCGTATCGTCCTAGCGGTCGTAAACTACATGCATGCATGAAAAATGCATGCTACGCGAGGATATCGAATGATGGAATCGTTAATAAAGCAGTTTGTTTTTAGGTGTGTGTAATTTCGTAACAATGCAAACAGTCAACGACACGCGTTCTTGAGGTGTAAACGTACGAGCTATATCGAACAATCGGAAAGTGAGGTTAGAATACGACACGAGCGCCCGCTTGGCCGGTGTCGTGAGCGGGTGTCAGCGAGTGGGAATTCGCTGTTTTCATGAGGAAAAATGTGCGCGGCACGCGTGCTGACGTTCTATTTTCGAATGAAAGGCGCGATCAGGGGACAAGAACGAAAGAGAGACACTGGAAAAGGCGAGAAGGGGAGCGAAGGAGAAGAGCGAAGAAAGCGAGACACGATCGAGGGAGCGTGCAGGAGAGACAAAGACGAGAGCAAGAAGCGAACAAGACGTAGGAAGCAAGGATGGGCAAAATTTTAAATAATATACAAAGAATAGAAATACGATACAATGAGAGTCGAGCACGTGCACAAATAATTTGCGTATTCGTTCAACGTAAAACATAATCTATTTTGTGCTCCAAAATCTAATTTTGATTCAACTATTAGTAGACGAAAAGTGTACACTATACTTGTCATAGAATGTTTTTGTCTTGATAAAAATGTTGCTCATCGCTTATACGAACTGCGAGGGAAAAGCGTGGAACAGAAAGCAACGCAGCGAGAGCAACAGCATTGTACAAAAACGAAGACAGATTGCGATGCATCTATATGCGTATGTATGCTAGAGCGAAAGAGACGGAGCGAGAGTGTGTATACCAGTGGCGTATCGAAAGGCGTGCAACGCGTGAAACAAGGGTTCCAACTGTGTAACACACGAGAATCAAACCTAATATCGGTTAGCTTGTCATTATTTTTTGAAACCGTACTTTGTTTATCCGTTAATATAAGTTTCGTAACAATTAACAAACGCTAGAAAAAATATCTTGCACGTGAATCTCATCTAATGCAATAAACGTTGCTCGATAAACTTTGTCGATTATTTTTTTTCAAAATACTCAAGGTATCACTTTACTCATTTTTGAAAATTATACGAAATTTACAAGA